AGAGCACAGAACAGCAAACTGAAATTAAACCCACCTAGAAAGAATAGCTTATTAAAGTTCAGCCGGCTCTCCATATCCGCGGTTCCACATCTGCAGATTCAACCAACTGCTGGTCATAACTATGCAGAAAAAGGGTTATGGTGTTGCTGATGTGAGCTTGGTAGTCAGGTCTGTGATGGTGCAGGTGTACTCACATACAGGCTGTTTTCTTGTCATTAATCCCTAAACAATACCATGTAACAACTAGGTACATAGCACTGACATTGTGTTAGGTATCATAAGTAGTCTAGAGATGGTTTAACGTCTACGGGAGGATGTGTGTAGGGTACAGGCAAATACTGTGCCGTTCTGCATAAGAGACTTGAGCATCCGCGCACGATTTGATACTGCGGGCCTGGAACCAATCTTCTGGGGATACCGAGGGGCAAATGGAATTCATTTTCAAACTAATCGTTTTCTAATGACTCATTTAAACAAGCAGAACTGCTTATATTTAATTACACAGAGATATTTCTAACATAATTAGCATGGAAAATCAAAAAACTTAGGATTGTATAAATTAAAACGTAACAAAAAGGTATTTAAATATTCAGTTCAAAGGTACAGCATTTCAAGAATGGCTTTCCCATAATAATTTTCTTTAAAAAGCCCCATGATTTGGAAACATTTCGGCATTATAATGAAAAAGTATCAAATTACACAACAAAAAGCCCTGCTTTTATGAAATGCATGAAAGTTATAGAAGCACTCTGACTGAAGCATAAAGTCTGAGGTTCACAGAACTAATGACATAAAACTTTTTGCTAAAAAAAAAATAAATAAATAACATTCAGGTTTTAAAAGAGGATGATTAAAATGCACTCGATGAAACTGCAAAGAAGCAAATACTTATGACACAGATCCAAAAGCTTGCTTCTAAAATGTGATTCAAAACGTTAGGTGAGCCCAAGCAGGAATAAAAGCTTCACCAAGCATGTGCAAGGGTTCAGTCACATTCTGCTCTGTGAAGTCAGCTTTATTAATAATAACTTTAATTGCATAATAATTTAAATTACTTAATAGAGTTAAGCAAAAGAATGTGAGCTTAATACCCACATTCTGGTAAGCAGATGAACTTTTAGTAATTTATAAGTTTTCATTAAAGGCTGGATAATGAAAAAAAGTTAGAAGTTAAAGCAATTTTGTTTTCAGTACACTAATATAATTTTACTTTGTAATACAATATTAACTGTCACATCAGATTTCAATAGGCAAAGAAGGCCAAGGAAGGATTTATATAATATCCAATAAGCAATAATTACCTAGTCGGCATACAATAACAAAATAAAAAAATACTAACCTAGAAACACAGTAAAAGGATTTATTGTGTTTAAGTTCCAGAAATAAAAATAACAGAATAGCATAACACCCCGGCCCTATAATTTCTAAACTACAACCCAATTAAAACATTTAAGAAACAGGAGCAATCTACGTGTTTTTCCACCAGGTAAATAGACCTGAGAAAGTTACCTATAAAGAAATAGGCTTTACCACTGTTCTCAAAACAGCCTGGTACTGGCACAAAAACAGACATATAGATCAATGGAATCGAATCGAGAACCCAGATATCAACCCAAATCACTATGCTCAATTAATATTTGACAAAGGAGGCATGAATATACAATGGAGTCAAGACAGTCTCTTCAATAAATGGTGTTGGGAAAATTGGACAGATACATGCAAAAGAATGAAACTGGATCACCAACTTACACCATACACAAAAGTAAACTCAAAATGGATACAGGACTTAAACATCAGACGGGAAACCATAAAAATACTAGAAGCATCCACGGGCAGCAAAATCTCAGACATATGCCAAAAGAACTTCTTCACTGATACTGCCCCTAGGGCAATGGAAGCTAAAGAGAAAATAAACAAATGGGACTACATCCAAATAAAAAGCTTTCTTACAGCAAAAGAAACCATCAACAAAACAACAAGAAAGCCCACAATGTGGGAGAACATATTTGCAAATGTTACCACTGATAAAGGTTTAATCTCCAACATCTACAAACAGCTTATACAACTAAATAAAAGGAAGATGAATGATCCAATTAAAAAATGGGCAATGGACCTAAATAGAATATTTCCAAAAGAAGACAGAAGGAAGGCCAAAAGGCACATGAAAACATGCTCAAAGTCACTAATTATCCGAGAGATGCAAATCAAAACAACAATGCGGTACCATCTCACACCTGTCAGGATGGCCAACATCAACAGATCAACAAACGACAGGTGTTGGCGAGGTTGTGGAGAAAAGGGAACCCTCGTGCACTGCTGGTGGGAATGCAGACTGGTGCAACCACTGTGGAGAACAGTGTGGAGTTTCCTCAAAAAACTGAAAATGGAACTCCCATTTGACCCAGTAATCCCACTCCTAGGAATATATCCCAAGAAACTAGAAACACCAATCAGAAAGGATATATGCACCCCTATGTTCATAGCAGCACAATCTACAATAGCTAGAATTTGGAAACAGCCTAGGTGCCCATCAGCAGATGATTGGATCCAAAAACTTTGGTACATCTACACAATGGAATACTATGCTGCCATAAAAAAGAAGGAATTCGCATCATTCGTAGCAACCTGGATGGAAATGGAGAACATCATGCTGAGTGAAATAAGCCAGTCATTGAAAGAAAAACACCACATGACTTCACTCATTTGTGGATAATAAAGAACATTATAAACTGATGAACCAAAAGATAGATATAAAGATAGTATATCAACAAGCAGACTGTCAAATTACAGCGGGGAGGGGAGGAAGATCTGGGGGAGATAATAGATCAATCGAAGGACTTTTATACATGCACATAAGTACAACCATTGGACATAAAACTCTGGGGAGGGAGGGGATGTGAGGGAGGGAGGGAGGGGGGGCAAAAAAAAATCAAAAATATATATATATATTTAAAAAAAAAAAAAAAAAGAAATAGGCTTTAAAACTCTTAACCACAAAGAACCTTCTACTGTGACATGAAGATGTGGATACATCTCTCAGGACACTAAGCCATTTCCCACAATCCTGTCCACTGCTCAGCGGACAATATTTCATATCACCAGAGAGACAATGTTTCATCTCAACACCCAGCTCATTCAACCAAAGAAGCCTGTTTATACTCATTAGTGTGTTCAAGTCACAGTACACAAATTTAGAAATGGTTAGCTTGTCCATAAATAATGAATATTATCTCTGCCGTAAGCTTTAATAAAAGGTCTGAGCAATCGGTCCAATAATGGAGAAAACAGACTACAGTCTGACTAAGGTAAAGATATATTCAAATTATTACTGTTTCCATTGCCATGAATTATCAAATAAATACAAATAAAAAAAATTGAAGCAGCAAAATTACATCTACCACATCTCTAAGCAAAAAATCAATTCAGAGCTTGGATGCAATTTTTGCTTCATTCTTAAAAAAAAAAAAATGCAGCATTATTTGGAGATGTTTCTCGATGACTAGATTTGTACATAAGCAGTGACTTTCTTTTCATGTCAATCTATAATATGTCTAGTTCATTCTATGCAGGTTATACACAGAACTAAAAATTACTTCGCTGTTTTCCAGTATGTGGTATGAATCAAAGTCTTTTTATTTTGAACAGTGATTTATTGTCATTCTTATAATTAACAAAACCAAGTTCTAAAATTTTAACTTTAAGCGCTTAAAATTTCAGATGAAGAGCCAATAATTGGTAACAGTTTCTGTGATTTCATATTAATAGTCTAATGACTACCTGGCAATCAACTTGAATGAACCCATTTCCGGTGGAGAAAAAAAGAAAATGTGCAGAAATCCCTCCCCACACCAAAAACACTCGCTCTTCTTTCTTACTTTGTATCTAAACTTGTAAAATTTGTAGAAATCCATGATCATTCTCCACAGTACAGAGCTCCTAGAGTGTTTCTAAAGGAAATTACAGTTTCTGGTCATAAGGAAGAAGATAGGATGGAAAAGAGGTGGAAACAGGGGAACCTGCAGGAGCAAAACCCCCACACACAAGCTCGCTGCAGTTCAGCAGTCACATTAAAAGGTCACGTTAGCTGTTACAGGTCAGCACATGATGTTCAAGCAACTAAGAAATCAGAACACAGGTATTTCCTCTTCCTAGTGTTAACCATTCTCTCAAAAACTATATCCATAAAGGATTGTCGGGTGGTTTTTTTTCAAAGGAGAACAAAAAATAAACAGGAAAGAAATGCTTCTATCCCCAAGTTCATCTAGACAGCCAGACAAGTGGACTAGAGCTGGTTTCAGACCGCACAGTGACACCGAATTGTTGGTAGGTGCCACCCCCACACGGTTCAAAACATGATCCAGTAAAACAAATACTCAGCGTTATGCCCCAAACAACTAGAAAGTATTTCATTATTGTTCCAATCCCATGTTTAATGAATTCCTTAGATAACAGATCTCTCGGATGCTGTATCTTAATGACATACCTGAATTATTACTGGCAACAGAATTCAAAACTTCAATGAGTATAAAAGCATCATTAGAAGAACCAACCTTATGTAAAAGGAGGGAGAACTCGGAGCTCAATACGACTGCCAAATATATGAAGGCAGAAATTTTGTTTGTGGAAGACAGAGTGGAGCTAGCTGTACCCACCTAATCAAGACCAACCAAAATACAGAATAGAGAATTGGGGGTGGCGGATAGGGGGAGTTTTAAATAAAAATAAATAAAAGGAAGAAGAAGAAGAAAAATGGAGGAGAGCCAGGCAGCAAAAGAATCGCTAGGGAGAATGAAAATAAAAGACAATGAGACACGTGCATATGGCCCTCTTTTCTCTGCCGCTGGTGTGCCTAGGACTTGACAATGTAAGTGGCATATGGGTCACACTAGCAGGCAAGAGATGAGCTTTCTGATGGACAGAGATGAAGGATTTGGACCTAATGAGTTGTTTTGTTTTCTTGGTTTTGTTTTTTTTTTTTTTTTTTTGCTTTTAATTCATACCTGGAAGCCTTGAATCCTTGCTAAATATTCCAGCTGTTTTGAAGGTTGTACTGCAGAACAAGGGGGAGGAGGAGAACTTCCTTTTAACCCTATGGCTTCCGCCGTAGGAGATGTTCCGTTCATAAGGAGTTCCCTGGCAATTGTGGCTGAACTATTCGAGGTGGGAGATATACTGAAGAAAGAGCTGGAGGGTTGGTTCATATCTTTGGGTGACAGATAGCCTAGGGTATTGCCAGAGATTACTTTGTGGCGGCTGGCTTCCATCTCTTGATAAACATCAGGAGACAAATGAAGAATTCCTTTTGGAGCTATAAATAAAATGAATGAACATTGTTATTACACTTACAAATAATGGAAATAGAAACATGTTATAGCATTTAATATTAACTCAATGATTTCCATTGTGGTGATGAAATAAGAAACACTGTCCATCAAACATCTTCCTCATATTTGCAGAGGCAAGTGCAGCCTCCATTTAGAGGTAAATAATGTATGTTTCAATATTCCTAAGGCCATTAGTTTTAAAAGATCCAACAGCCCTGGCCAGCGTGGCTCAGATGGTTGAGCGTTGATCCATGCACTATAAGGTTGCTGGTTCAACTCCCAGTCAAGGCACATGCCTAGGTTGTGTGCTCAATTCTCAGTAGGGGGCATGCAGGAGGAAACATCTCGCATCGATGTTTCTCTCTCTTTTCCTTTCCCTTCCTCTAAAAATCAATTTAAAAAAATACTTTATTTAAGAAAAAGATCCAGCACTGGCTGGTTTGGTTCAGTGGACAGAGCCCTGGCCTGCAGAATGAAAGGTCCCAGGTTCAATTTCAGTCAAGGGGACATGCCTGGGTTGCAGGCTCGATCCCTCAAAGGGGGCGTGCAGGAGGCAGCTGATCAATGATCGTCTCTCATCATTGATGTTTCTCTCTCTCTCTCCCTTCCTCTCTGAAATCAATAAAAAATAATAATCTATACATATAAAAGCCTAAGCAACGTTTCAACCATTCGACCAGTAGCTATGATGCGCACTGACCACCAGGGGCAAACACTCAACACAGGCATGGAAACATGGAACAGACTGATGAATCTCAGATTCATGCACCAGTGGGCTCCCTCAGGGTGGCCTGTGGGGATCAGGCAAAACTGGCCCAGTGCACAGATTCATGCACCAGTGGGGTCTCTCCCCCTGGCCTGCGGGGATTGAGCCAAAACTGGCAATCTGACATCCCCCAAGGGGTCCCGTATTGGAGAGGCTGCAGATCGGGCTGAGGGATCCCCTCCTCCCCCCCATGCATGAATTTCTTGCACTGGGCCTCTATTAAATAAATGAGAGATCCAACAAAATTACTTCAGTGAAACGTATATACCAAAGGGAAACTGTGGCAGGACAAGAATGAATAATGTATGGACATACAATGGGAGATCAGATTAGAAATATGCAGAGTCTTCGTCCTGCAATTTAATATTTTATGAGCTCATAAAAGAGACACAAACACCCTAATCTATGCAGCAACTGAGACACAGCAGGTAAAATGAAGCCTGGGCTACTCCAAAGCTGAGGTACCATCTCCGATATCCAACGGCCTACTGGTGCTCTCCTCTTCACGGACAACTCTAGCTCATGAACATGTCAAAAAGAGACAGGATCTTCTTCCCCCAGTGGGCACTGTCTCCTATCTTGGTTATCTCAACATGATACCACCATCTATCTGCTCAGTTGCCCAACCTAGACTCCTGGCAACCATCTTTGATTTACCCACAAACAAGCATTTCCTACATCCATTCTAGAATTTGCCCCTTCATCCTTAAGTTCATCGTAGTTCAAGCCAGGTCACGGATAGGCTGTGATAGACAAAGGAGAGAGTGTGGGTTATCAGGTGGTGGGGTTGTAGATGCATTAAAAAAGCACTTTCCTGCCGAAACCGGTTTGGCTCAGTGGTAGAGCGTCGGTCTGCGGACTGAAAGGTCCCAGGTTTGATTCCGGTCAAGGGCATGTACATTGGTTGCGGGCACATCCCCGGTAGGAGGTGTGCAAGAGGGAGGTGGTCGATGTTTCTCTCTCATCGACGTTTCTAGCTCTCTATCTCTCTCCCTTCCTCTCTGTAAAAAATCAATAAAATATATATATTTTTTTTTAAAAGATCTCAATATTGATTTTCCCCCCAATAATTTTTATTTATCAGTTATAGTTGTTGTACTATAGTTTTAGGTGTACAACACAGTGATTAGAAATTATATAATTTACAAAGCGATCACCCTGATAAATCTAGTACCCATATGACACCGTACATAGTAATTACAATATGATGGATTTTATGTCCCTGTGACTATTTTTATAACTAGTAATTTGTATATCTTAATTCCTTCCTCTTCTTCATCCATTCACTAATCTACCTCCCCTCTGGCAACCATCAAAATGTTCTCTGCATCTATGCATTTATTTCTGGTTTATTATTTTGATTCCACAAAGTGAAATCATACGGTATTTGTCTTTCCCTGTCTTATTTAAATTAACATAATATCCTCTAGGTCCATCCATGCTATCTCAAAGGGTAAGATTTCATTCTTTTTTATGACCAAGAAATATTCCATTGTATATATGTATCTTATCTTTTTTTTACCCAATTGTCTACTGATGGACACTTAGGTTGTTTCCATATCTTGGCTATCCTATATAATTCCTATATAATAAAACCTAATATGCAAATCAGACCAATTGCTCTGACACACACTGACACTCGAGAGGGAGGTAACTGGCGGCAGCAATTGGGGAACGGGGCTAGCCAGCGGGCGGCACCAGGCCACCAGCCAAGGCAGGTGCCAGCGGGAGTCCCCTGACTGCCTCCCCCACTGGTCACCCCACAGATGGCCCTGATTGCTGGCCAGGCCTAGGGACCCTACCTATATGTTGGGAACAGTCTCACAGATTTAAAAATTAAAACCTGGCAAGACTAGTCGAACACTGAAAAAACAGGATGCAGCAGCGATGACATGCATGGACTCTGGCTTGCACATTTTGTGGTCAGCCCTGGTTCTGACACTTATAACTGTGTGACAAAGCCAATTAACTTCTCTCTGCTTCAGTTTTTCCACCCAGGAGATAGGGAAAATGGCACTACTGCCTCAAAAGGATCGTGTTATATACTACTTTTCATAACTGGGGCAAAAAAATGTAGCTGCCCATACAACAGCAAGATGCCTTTCATCTGTAAGGTCACTGGTGCATACAGCATCCCGGATGGCAAGAGGGATGTCCGACTACCCGTTTAGGCCTAATGTCCCATCCCCCGAGGGGTCCCAGATTGCAAGAAAATGCAGGCCAGGCTGAGGGACACCACCACCACCACCGACCCACCCACACCACCCTCACCCCTCATGCACGAATTTCATGCACCAGGCTTCTAGATATAAATAATGCTGCAATGAATATAAGGATGCGTGTCTTTTCAAATTAGTATTTTGGATTTCTTCAAATAAATACCCAGGCGTGGATCTATCTTTAATTATTTGAAGAACTCTATACTGTTTTCCATACTCAGTATGGCATACTGGATGCATCAATTTACAACCCCATCAACAGTGCACAAGGGTTCCCTTTTTCCACAGCCTCATTAGCACTTATTTGCCAATTTACTGATGATAGCAATGCTGACAGCTGTGAGTTAGTAGCCCATTATGGTTTAATTTGCATTTCCCTAATGATTAGTGATGTTTGACATGTTGTTGGCATCTCTATGTCCTCTTTGGAGAAATGTCTATTCAGCCCTCTGCCTTTTTAATTGGGTTGCTTGTTTTTTCTGTGTTAAGTTGTATAAGTTCCTTATATATTTTGGATACCAACTCTTTATCAAATGTATCATTGGCAAACATCTCCCATTCACTAGGTTGACTTTTTGTTTTGTTGATAGTTTCGCTTTGCAAAAACTCTATAGTTTTATGTAGTGCCATTTGTTTATTTTTTTCTTTTGTCTCCCTTGTCCAATGAGACAAATCCAAAAAAAAAAAAAAAACATTACTAGGAGTGATGTCAAAGAGTTTACTGCTTGTTTTCTTCTAAGAGATTTATGGCTTTGGGTCTTATATTTACATCTTTAATCCATTTTGAGTTTATTCTTGAATATGGTGTAAGAAAGTGATTCACTTTCATTCTTTTGCATGTATTTGTCCAGTTTCCCCAGCACCACTTGCTGAAGAGACTATCTTTACCCTATTGTATATTCTTACCTCCTTTGTCATAAACTACACACCATATAGTCATTGGTTTATTTCTGGGTTGTTTATTCAGTTCCATTGATCTTAATGTCTCTTCTTACGTCAGTACCATGCTGCTTTGATTAGTATAGCCTTCTAGCATAGTCTGATATCAGGTAATATGATATTTCCAATTTTTTTCTTCTTTCTCAAGATTGCTTTTGATATTCGGGCGTTTCTGTGGTTTCATATAAATTTTAGGATTATCTGTTCTAATTCTGTGAAAAATGCCATTGGAATTTTGATAGGGATTGCACTAAGTATGTAGCTTGCTTTGGGTAGTATAGACATTTTAACAATGCTAATTCTTCCTATTCATAAGCACAGTATATGCTCCCATTTATTTCTATTTTCTTCAATTTCTCTTTTCAATGTATTATGGTTTTCAAGTACGGGTTCCTTTAAATTATCAGTTAAATTAGTTCTTAAAATGTATTTTAAGGTTTTTCACACTAATAAATTACTCCAAATTGGTACAATTCCAAAAAAAATTGTACCAACTTCACATTTCCCTATTAACATATGAAAGTGCCTTTTCCCCAATTTTTCAGTATTGGATTTTTTATTTTTTATTTTTTTTTTTTTTGGTCACTGTTCTGTTACTAGATAAGTGGCAAAAAAATTTTTAATAATAATATCCAAACCGAAATAGAAACAAAGGTACCTTCAGCCCTACCCCCTGGCCTCTGGGGAGTTGATAGGGCCTGGAGGCAAGTGCCAACGACCAATGATTTCATCAGTCACGCCTAGTAATGGAACTTCCATAAACACCCCTGAATGATGGGGTCTGTTAGAAAGTTCCTTTCTAACACATCCACATGCTGGGAGGACAGTGTACCCCAGCAACACAGGAACAGACGTTTCTATGCTCCTGACTTCTCCAGCTCTGGCCCTGTGCACAATCTCTTCATCTGGCTGTTCATTTTATATCTTTAATTAGAGGCCCGGTGCACGAAATTCGTGCACGGGGAAGGGGGCTGTCCCTCAGTCCAACCTGTACCCTCTCCAATCTGGGACCCCTCAAGGGATGTCCAACTGCCCATTTAGGCTCCCAGTCCAAGTAGGG